CCAAATTGACCGACAGTCTTGAACTGATGTGCGCCATCTATAGCGGATGGCAATATAGTCAATTTTGGTTCAGGTTATTGGGGATTTCGGTGGGCGTCAGATGACGCGGTGTGAACGTTTTTGCTTAAAAGTGCTGCTTAGGTAAATGTTGTGGTCGGCGCACAGTTGCAGGAATCGATCACCACTGTCTGTTCGGCATGCATCGACTCCGAGGCTGCCGCTCAGGTGTTGTTCATAGTCTGAAAAACGACCCACTTTGGCATTCATCTCACTAGTAATAATCACGATGTCAATATTCTTCGCTTTGCGAAGAATAGATGAGAGCTGTTGATAGAGTCCTCTTTGATACCTTCTGAACTGCCTTCTGTAGTGGCATAAACTCAACAATCAATCACAGCTATACATCAGCCATTTCAACTGATGATTCGCTACCATACAGCCATTATGACCTATGGAATAAAGAACAATAAGAGGGAGGGAAGGGGACTTAACAGAAAAAACTTAATGCCCTAAACAAACACCTAGAGTAAAGGCGCCTACATCTTGTGTTAACAACACACCGTCACAAACAGCTGGCTATCTTGCAAAAATAAGGCGGCATCGGCGAGACACCTTCCTTGCGGCTTTCACTGCCCCGCGTCATTATCGTCTGTTACCCCGCGGATAACCTTGCATCAAATACACTTTATACAGGCAGTCCGACGAGGAGACGGCAGCAGACACGCCACTGACATTGGCTGCGAGCCATATCCTGTAAAGTCTCGAGCTAAGCACAAAGCACGCTACGTCGATTCCAGCCCAGAAGGTGAGATGGACCGACGGTATCAGGTTTGATCGTCAATGACTTCATTTCCCGCTGTCAAGTCAAATTGGGTCCGTCTCCAGCCTTGCGCTACCCTACAACTTGCAAACAGAACAAACCCCTCTTCGGTAAGCGGTGATCAGAGATACGTAGTACGCGCTCAAGCAAACGCAACTTATTCAGTGCTATCTGTTGTTCTAAGGAACTAGCTTAGTTATCACTGCCTAGTACTCGCCTACGCACATCATTGTTGCAGACACGCTGGTGCCACCTGACACCAGCAATGCTCCGCAGACAGGGATGATCAAAGATTTGAAGGCGCATCGGATCATCAGACCGAACGGGCCAATTCTCACTCCCATGGAGCAGGACGGCCCTCACTATGGCTTTGTAAACACGGCCTTTTAGACGGAGAGAAACCCCTTTCTTGTGCCACATATGCGACAGATTCGAAAAGCCACTTCTGGCTTTTCCAATGCGTGAGCTGACTTCCGTTGCTGATGCAGCTGCCAAAGTAAGTAAATCGATCAACCACCTCGAATTCCTCGTTATCAATGGTAAAGTGGTTACCATCTGGCTGGTGGTCCTGCAACAGCACTTTGCACTTCGAAGGTGCGAAGCGGTATAAACTGAGATGATGAAAAGGCATTTTGCCTTCGGACGCTGTTTATTAACTCTGTTAGAAGCTCGAAGTCGAATCGCACACATGTAGCTATTTGCCAGCATCCAGTCGAGCAGATTGCCTTCGACATGTTTGCTAAGGGAGCTGCCAACACCGTAAATAACTTGAGCCATTGACTCAGTATCGCCAGAGAAGCGAAGAGTAGCCATCGTCGTCCGAATTAGAACCAGGGAGTCGAAGATTCGTCACGACGCTGATATTTTGTATGCATGTTACGGAAACACACCACACAGAAATGCCAAGCGGATGAAGAGTGAGTGTTAGTGCTGTCTGCTGGCGGATCTGACCTAGAGTACGGACGTTAAATGAACCAATGTGAAATGATTCTGTAGGTTTGGTGGCAGGGCTATATGTATCAATAGCAGCATCTATGGGATCAGTACTACTCTCTTGATCAATGGATGGGGAAAAAGAGAGCAAAACAAGGAGAAGCAGGAGTATGCTCGACCTAATCAAAAGGGCGGATGACTTACTCCGGCTGCACATTCCGAGAGAGGGGTTATGTTCGAAGTGCCCTACCTCTAATCTTTGACTCAACAGCCTGACCTACAAGGCAGTGGGCCACATGGAGATTCACTTGAGGGATTCCACCCGGAGCCTTGGGCTCAATAACCTGACACGCAAGACAGTGGGAAGCTAATCCAGCTCGGGAGTGTGATTGCAGTGGCCTATTGGGACCTGCTTGAGGCCTGTCACGTACTGCCTTTGAAGATTTAGTACAGTGCACACGTGTTCTACGACAGTATTATGTTACGCACCTGCGACCACGGCTAGCTACAGGTGGGAGTTGGCGGGTTTACACCCATTTGACCAGGGACTGCATGGCTTGAAGTGGGCGGTTGCTAACCATTGAGCCCCGGACGGTGTCCTCCCACCCTCAGAGACAATGCGTGGCGTTCGTGCTCTACGCCAGTCGAACTGTGAGCTTATAACCCGTAGATATGTTGTCTCTAATGACTACGTTTTAAAGGAAGCGGACCATTTATCTCTCCCTAACCTTCTAGGAGGATTGGATTGTAAGACTGTTAATCTGACCCCTAACCATTGACCTGTTTGGTATGAGTAACTTTCAACGCAGTTGTGAGGTGCCACGCAGCATATCTAAATGGGTCACGGGGGATCGCAAACCTTCGCACCAGGTTAAGGTCCAGTCTCGTTGCGATGAACCGCAATGGCATCTATGTTGTGTTTCGTCTCTCATTCTTCTATATAGCCAACTTCTCTACCTGCGATCTCATTCTCGATGCATGAAACAAAATATCATATTGTTGTTTTCACTTTACCTTCTGTAATATCTAGGATCGTTTTTCTTATATATTCTCAATTTTGTTCCATCACATTAGCTGTGCTATTTCGCATCCCGTGCTAACGTGTATAATGACGATGATGACCTAGCTATTTGGTCAGGCTGGCGAGTGCTGCTCTCATAGTCGGTAATCGCGTGATGGTTCAGATCGGTCGGTGGCCGAGAAGTCTGCACTTTTGCTTTGCCACCATAAGGTCATCGGTTCGAATCCGCGTAGGGGTGGGCGTCCTCGCGGTATACTCAGCCCGCGCGCGGCCGGTGGTAGTCGCGCGGCAGCGAAGCGCCGTTACGGCGTACAGCTGACACATTATTATTATTATTATGGTCCAGATCAAGTCAAAATAAGCTTTATACACCCATATGGGCGCATTTTCAGCACATCACTGACTGAGACTTTCATCGGACACGCTACTGTCGCGTAGTCAGTGACGTTTCCGCATGCGTTATCTGTTTAATATTCCCCTCTGGTTGATTATACGCACTTCCTTCCTAGCCCCCTTTTCTAGGTATCTATTCGCACTCCACCACTTTTTGACCATTGTTCTTTAATATTATCCTGGCGACGTGAGTCGTGGCAACTTCAGTGGCACTTCGGTGCTCGGTTCATTACTGTTTAACTGAACTGAAGTTTCGGCACTCTAGGTATTGCATATTTGCAAGGTGTTGAATGCACCAATATCCCAGTGCTTAGTATACTCATTCACGTTATTGGCCCTTTCTCGCACTTAGGTAGTATCAGATCTCTAAGTTTGCTAATTTTTGTTACTGCTGCACAAATGTACCGTGTGATGCACTATGCGAACGAGTGCTATCCCTTTTTCCGTCGTCTCATATACGTTTTTGGACCCGGACTGGTTGCCCCGCTCTCAGTTTGCCCTTTGTGTCCAGTCCACCTCCTACTTTTTGCCGCATTGACCGATCAGGTTTGTTTTTCACAGTTTTCATATCTATTTTACATTCCTTATTTTATCAGCCCATTGCTGCTTTTTATTTCCAGCGATTTTTCAGCACAAATGAGTACTGTTACTACTCCCATGATGGAAAACAGTCTGCACCACTTGCTTCCGAATGAGCCCATTATTAAGGAGGTTGACAGAAGTCAAGAGAGTGAATCTCTGTTCGTACAGCTTGTGGACAGCGATGGCAATGAAACCGGCAGTCCTATTTGGCTCCCGTTGACAATCACTCCTAAAGAGCTTACTGATTTGTTAAACAGAGTACTTCATCAGGTGCGTCTTGCTGTCATAACTGATCCGATCCACTGTCTGCTCATATGCTTCTTCCACATCATCTCATTGCTATTTGAGTCAATTCCTCTCTTCTCGCACTAGACCGAGGATCGACCGTCTACGTACGAATTCTTTGTCGATAATGTTCAACTTCTGGACGATTTGCGGACTACTCTGTTTCAGTATCGGGCTAAGCTGAAGGAATCAGGGGAAAATGATAACCGGCTTCACGATTTAGAATCAGTGGTCCGAGTTGTGTACCAAGCACAGGCTATCTTTCGTGTCCGCCCCGTCACCCGTTGCACCAGTTACCTCTCCCGGTCACAAGGGAGCTGTATTGGTTGCACAGTTTTCTCCGGACGCAAGGTACTTCTTATTTTGATGGGTTGTGAATACGATTTGGGCATTCTGAAAGTTGTGCCTGTTCCATGCTTTAGGTTACGTTCCTTTTTTGGGTATAGCTACCACGTACATCTACTATCCCTTTCGGAATATTTGTTTAGTATTCCCTATCCCTTTTTTACCCTACCATTCACTGACGGCTGTAACCATTTGTTGCCTGCCCCTGGTCTTAAGGACCACAAGCCTGCTTTGCAATCCTGTGGTCGCGGGTTCGAGCCTGCGTAGCTGATCGGGCGAATATCGCAGTATCCTTAGCCCATGCGCGACTGATGGTTGTTGCGTGGTAACGAAGCGTCGGTACTGTGTACCGGCGTACTGTTGGTGCCTTTTTCAATGCTGATGCCTAACCACTTGGTGTCTGAGTTCACACGGTAACATAGCAGATAGAGCACAATGGTAAGTAAGCATCAGAAGTGCACCGGCACACCGTACCGACGCTTCGCTTCCGCGCGGCCACCACTGGTCTCGCGTGGACTGGGTATACCGCAAGGTCGCTCGCGCCTACACGGATTCGAACCGGTGACACCGGCGCGTAATCCTTTTGGCCAGCGGCCGACACACAACGACGAGGGAATTAATTACCTCCTCTTTTGGAATTGCACGAAGTGCACACCCTTGCATCTATAGTATATAGGCCCAAATACCTATTACAAAGTGCAACTCACATCAAACTGCTTAGTCACCAACCACGGAGACATTAGCAGTATGCCGGTGTTGCGCACCGACTCTTCGCTGCTACGTGATTATTACCAGTCGCCAGCGGACTATGGATGCTGTGAAATGGCGCGCACCTATACGGACTCCATGTGGTGAAACTTTGAATTACAAAACCAAGGAATCACTCCTTCGGCTACCGGTCGACGGGCACCAACGACAATCTACTAAAAGATCCAATCGCGCACCGGATCAACCAACGAACCTTATCCCTATTAGTGTTGAACCATCAAATAGATTGTCAGCTCTGACATTGTACTCTTTTTTGGCTGACGAGCTGTCTTCCTGCCCCCGCAAATCAGAATACGTATGCTATCTTCTTTTAATTCAACCGTGGCGCAGTTACGAAACAAACAGGTGTTTTGCATACCCACGACAAAGATGACTTTGTACTGTTGCTCTTCGTGGTTTAGATTACCCTTCAGTTCGGTTGACACTCGTGATTCGCCTCCACATTTCGCGGTATTCATTGACTCTATCCTGGTCAGTACTTTGACTGATGAGCCTTCTAGCGTGGCTCCATGCAGCATCTGCTCATAGCGAACGACGGCCCCTTTTAATATCACCTGATTTTTTCGATCTGATAACATTAACTTCATTGTCTGTGGTCTTATGCAAAATAAATAAATATTCTCGTTTTTGTCGAGACACGCCTGTGACGGTATGTCCAGGTAAATAAAACATTTCTACTTTCAACGACCGCAAATGATCGAAAATGGTAAAAGAGTTATAAAAAACGGTTTTCAATTTTGATAGAATATCAAAGTTGCCTGTTTTTTTTCAATGTGTTACCTGATGTTGTCTGTGTCGGGTTTGGTAAGTTTCATGCGAATATTAATACGGAACTGTATAAAGTAGGTGTCAATTTTCTTTTAGCACATTCGATGGCTGCTTCGTCCATGGTTTTTTAGTAGTATCGAATTCTGGTATTGGCACTCACATGTAACTGAAGCAAGAGGGGCACTTATAATAGATAAACGTACTACTAAACGACAATAAAGTAGTAGGAACATCGACATTGAAGATGCGAAATATGGCGGTGTGTTTGAGTGACTTCCTCCCTCATAACACACTTGCTGGCAACAACTTTGTCGTTGGCATAGGTAAGAAGGAGGAAGAAAGATGAAGACGGTGAGTATAGGGACCTTACTATTGCAATATTCGCTCTGGGTTGTAGGCTGATTTCTGAATTAGCTAAATACTGGATCTTGTTCGTATGTTTGGCTGTTCGTTCTGTGACTTCCCAATAGATGGATCATATTTTGCACGGGCAAGTATTAGTGGGTCCTTTTTTAAAATTCCTACTCTGAATTGCTAGCATGCATATCGGTTAGCATTTTGTTCCAGATTCGCGCATATCAATTAAGGAGGAAGTTAGCCAGTGTGGTGGTATTCCACCTGCATTCCACTACCGAATGTTCCTTATTTCGTGTGTCGGTATGATGGTGATTGTATTATTGTCATGTTAAGGTTGGAAACATGTATTTTTTGTGCAATATATTATAGTATATGGTTAATTTAAGCTTCACTCGCCTCGGCCAGATGGAATCAAGCTTGCGTTTCTCACATCGTCCGGAATATTCTAATTTCGCTGAGTTCCTTATAGGTGTTTTGTGAATATTCGCTGTACCTTTTGCAGTACAGTGCAGTCTCCTTTGTTTGCACAACCGTACACCATCGAGCAGTATTCCGAAAGTGGACGTGAAAGTGATGAATAAGCGCAGAGTATGGATTCTTTTACTTTGAAAATTCTAAATGACCTTCCAATGCTTTGTCTGGTCGTTGCGATGACTTAGACTACTTGTTCGGAGCAGTTGAGCGAGCATGCGTTTCTCAGTCCCGGATCACGAACATTATGGCATATACTAATTTGCTTATCACAAATGATTAAACTGCCGGGTTTTGTCGAGGTCGTGGCTGCATTGACCACATCCTCACTTCGCGTCAGTAGTTGGAGCACCGTCACATATATTGGCGGCCCACCGTTGTCATGTTCCTCGATATCAACTGTGCATTCGATTCAGCGGACCTTGTGACTGCCTACTCAGGAAATGTGTATCTGAGAAATCTGTAAACATTATCCGAGCATTATACGCGCGTAGCTCGGGCAGATTGAGGGCTTACGACAAGCTGTCGTCGCCCTTTAATATCTCCAGCGGTGTGAGACAAGGATGTCCGTTGTCCCCTTTCCTCTTCAACTTCGCTATTGATGAAGTCATGGAAATCGTGTTTACAGGACACTACTTAGAAGATGTGTATCTGCTCCCAGGAGAAGGACTCCTTGACTTAGAATATGCTGATGATATTGTCCTAGTCTCTGACAGCTCCCAGACGTGCCAAGCGGCACTGGTAGATTAGCACTGGCTGTCCGTCACTTTGGGCTTTGCTTCGCACCCTCGAATTGCAAAGTGTTCCTCCAAGTTTGGCCTGAACCGTCTCTTACGCTGACCGTTGGTGAGGATCAGCTAGAAGTCGTTCGTAAATTCAACTACCTAAGAAGTTATATCAGCGCCCGTGGGATTGAAGATGAGCTCACGTACCGTATAGCAAAAGCTCGAGGCGCTTTTGCTAACCTTCGCCACCTATGGCGCCGGTGCGACATCACTCTCGCCCTGAAGGGTAGAGTGTACAATGCAACGGTACGTTCGACCCTACTGTACGGTTGTGAAACCTGGCCCCTTAGATCAGCGGACATAAAGAGGCTAGTTACCTTCGACCACCGGTGCCTTGGCAATTTAGCCCACATCTGGCGGGAACACCGAGTGAGCAACGAGCGTGTTAGACACCTTGTTTACGGTACAGGAAAAGGAAATGAACCGCTCAGCACCGTCATTTCATGCACCAGGCTCCGATGGCTCGGCCACGTGTTACGCATGCCAGCCCACCGACTCCCGCGATGTGCGTTGTTTGCGCGCCGAGTGTGTGGATGGAAGAAGAGAAGAGGTGACCAAGCGATGTCTTGGTCGAGAGGAATGAAGGCCCTTACTTCGAAGCTGACCTCAGTTGGAGCGTTTCGGCTTCCTGGTTGGGGTCCGAAATACCATGAACACGTTCGGCTGGATACACACACTAGTAGCCGACCTCAGTGGCGTTCGTGCTGTGAGTTTCTGTCCCACCCCATCCCTCCTTAGCCTACCCGTCTAACCACAATCTCACTATTTAGCCTTATATACTTTTGCATATTAAATTTTTTTGATGCACAGTAGCCGGCTGGTAGCTTACCGGAACGATGCCTATCCGTTACCGGTAGCTGAGCTAACTTGCACCTGTTGCATCTTTTCCTCCTTTTTTCTATGTATTGCGGCACAGTAGCTGAGGTGGTTCCCACCTCTAGCTAACGTGTATAATGATGATGATGCTAGATGTTATGTCTTATTTGTAAGACATAGCGTAACACTTATCTGTCGTAAATAACATTTCCCACTTCGAGCACCAGCTTCCGAGCGCGTGGGGGTCGAGCTGGATCGTATTGGTAGTTTCGTTTATGGTAGCGGGGTGAAAAGTGAATATACTTTTTATATCGTCGGCAAACACATATGGTGTTCCGAATTTCACAGCGTCAAATATATCGTTAACATACATCAAAAACAGCGTAGGACCAAAGACACTACCCTGTGCTACTGCTGTTGGTTCAGATTTGTGTTCCCGAATCTGTACCATCTGCGTTCTATTTGTAAGATACGATTTGAACCACGAAAACAGGGGTTCCCCGATTCCACAAGACGTCGACTTGGATATTAGTTTTCCATGTGGCACTCGATCGAAAACTTTGTACATATCGAGGTAAATAACGATTGCAGAATTGCCGTTATCCTGTGAGACGGTTAGTTGATGTAGGAATTCAAGTTAGCACGTTATGCACGAACGTGCGTACAGAAAACCGTATTGAGCGTTGTTGATTAACTTACGAGATAGTAGGAAGTCGACCGTTGCAGTTTTTATATGTCTCTTCATCAGTTTGGATAAGATAGATGTATGATTTATTAGACGATACTTCTTTGTTACGAACAGGGAGCCTGGTTTGTGTCACGGTGTGACAATGGCTTCTTTCCACTGTGTTGATACAGTGCCAGAGTTCATGGTTTTGGTGAACATATTCAATAGAAGCAAGGGTATGTCGACACCCCCCAAAGTTTGATAAGTGCAGGAGGTACATTATCTGGTCCGCCGAAATAAGGTAGTTTTGTGTATTCTACAAGCTTTTGTATGTCACGGAGTTCGAACTTGACACGAGTGAGTTGATCAAGTGT